TATCATCCTCTGACACCTCCTCTCGACTCATTTTCTCATTGCAAAAAAATCCCCATTTCGCAGACTGCACCACACGACAGACCTGATCGACATGGTGGACGCCAAAGCCTTCGAATACTTCCTCTTGAAGCCGGAGAACCTGGACGAAGTGGCCAAGCTGATCGAGGAGGACTACTTCCCCAGAGAGCCTCTTGTGAGTTCTGTCACCTTTGCAATGCGTCTTTATACATCTATATGTTTTTCCATCTATCTATATGTCTGTCTATCTATCCACTCATACATTCATTTATCTACATATCTATTCATATATCCGTCCATCCATCTGTCTATCTATCTATCATTCTATCTCTCTGTTTGTCTTCTATATCTATCTACCTATCTATCTATCTATCCATCTATCTATCTATCTATCTATCTCTATACCTATATATATATCTACCTATATACCTGCCTGCCTGCTTGCCTACCTACCTACCAACCTACCTATCCATCCACCCACCCATCTCTCCCTATATACACCTATCCACCTATCCAAAGAAGTACGAAAGCCCGACGTGTATTGGCTATTGGGTTTCAGTGCAGGGGCTTCCACGTGACCGCCTCAGCCAGCAGCGGGATGACGAGCAGGAAACTCCGGGAGTGCCTCGCCTCTGGAGTGTCCTTCGGTGCCAGGGACGTCAGCACGGGCGCCTTGGCCGGTGTCCGCCTGAGCTACACGAAGGCGAAGGCGGAAGCTGGCTCTGCGAAGCCCTTGGGCGAGAGGAAGACCGAGTATGAGGTGAGCGAAGTGTATCATTCTCTCTCGTGCTAGATTTTTTTTTTTTTTTTTTTGTCTTTCGTGTGAGTAGCATAGGAAGATATAAGAAGGCATGATATATGTTGTTCTGTTATAGTTATTCTTATTATCATTATTATATTAGTAGTAGTAGTATCACCATCATTATCCTTATCGTTATTATTATCATTGTTGTCATCATCATCGTCGTTATCATTATCATTATTGCTGACAATACCGTTATTAATATTATCATTATTTATATTATCCTCATTATCATCAGCACTTTTATTAGTAATATCGTCCTTATCATTGTCACTATCATTATTATTATTGTTAGTGGTAGCAGTGGAAGTAACAATAGTTCTATTAACAGATAATTTTGAAAAAAAAAAATCTTAGCGTAGTGAGGATTCAGACGTGCCTAGATGAAAATTAAAAGAAAAGAAAAGAATTCAAAACAGTAAAAAGCTGACGATGTTACAAGGTCAGGATTGCAAAAGCTATGTAGTTGAACTTGTTCGAGTTGTGGCATTGAATATTCACCTTGTCTTCCTCCAGATCAAAGTGTGTGGGTTATGCGACGAAATAAGGTCCAAAGTGAATATATTTGAAGAATCTGATGCAGAAGCGATACTCTACATGTTCGTGCTGTGTGTTCGAGAAAATTATGGTGGTTGCGGTATTGCAAAGAAATTGGTTCAGGTTGGTATTAACATCCTGCGTCTGCATTTGGGTATTTAATGTTTATTCAACCCCTGTTTACGTATGGAAGCCTGCATGGATATACAGCATGTTCCATGAATAAATGACCTCTCCGATTGGGATTCGAACCCTTGTCACCGTTGCAGGCAGGTCGTGTAGCAGTGGTTAGTGTCCGTCTTGCAGACCTGCTTGCAACGGCGGCTAGGGTTCGAATCCCTATCGGAGAGATTATTCATTCAGCATGTATAATATAATGGGGTCTTCAGTACCATAAGTAGATAAGGTCCAAGGTTCCTTTGTTTTCGGGACAGGAAGGAAAGTCCAGGTGACTGTGTATCGCCAACCCGGTGGGTGTATGGGTTCAGATCGAGGCGTAACACCCTTTTAAGAAAGCCGCTATCGCTTCACATGTCTGGTCTGTTGGAGGTGGACTGTTGTGGTCTAGGTACTGTTAGTGAGAGCGGACTTATCTGGAGTTATCTCTATATGCGGTTGATGGGACTGCACCGTCTGAACTGGGTCCCGCATTTGGTTAAAACAATACTTTCGGTAAACTCTTACTTTCTCTCTTTTTGAAGAAAATAAGTAAAATCATATGTAAAACTATATGTGTTCAAAATGTAATATGTTATTATTTGGTTAATATAATTTTTTAACATTAAAATATCCGTCCTTATTAAGATGTTTAGATCTGGATACTAAATGGTTAGTTTAAAGTTAGTATATACACAGTCCATTGTTAGTTCGTTTGTCTACGTGTCTGACACAGCAATGCGCGTTCCCCCTATTAACCCAACATTCGAGGGACTGAGAGGTAACTGCAGGGAGATGGAACATTGCTAAACAAGAAACATGACGAATTAAAGTCAACTGAATCTCCCAAGATACTCCAGAATCATATCCCATTGATCGGTACTTTTGTTTATGTATAACACTTACTTATGTGCTTCTTAGAGGAAAAAGAACGAGAGTCCATGCATGTACGTAACTTGATAAAAATGTACAAGGAGGAAAGAAAGATTGCAAGACACATTTTGTATCCGAATGCGTGTATTCATTTATTCATTTCATCAAGGCATGTTATGTGAAATTTCTTTCTCCCAGATGAGCATCGAGCGGGGAAAGGCCTTGGGGTGCCAGCTTGTGCTTGCAACAGTCAGCAACATGTTCTCAAGTCGGATCTTCTCTGCGCTGGGTTTCAAGACCAGGTATTCCGTGGACGTTTCCACGCTGGCGAGTGACTGGGGATTGGATCTCTCTGCCATGGAAGGAAATACTGCCATCCACATCATCACAAAGTCCCTCCAATGAGTCATGTTTGAAATGAAGAGCTGAAGTGTGATCGTCTTCAGCATCCTTCAGCGGCTGCCCTGGGAAAGAGGAGAAACCACAGAGAAGGGAAAGGGATAAGACGCTATGTAACCACAGGAGAGTGAGCATTATGCTTCCATTATGGAAGTGACTAAATCATGTCTAAATGATGAAAATTATCAACATTTATTAAACATTGTTAAAAGCTGCAAACGCGATTAATTTACCTACAAAAAAAAAAAAAAAAAAAAAAAAACTATAGCATTAGAGACGATTCAAATCCAATTACTGCTGCCATTTATGATCACATGATACCCTGTGCTACTGAAAGAACTCAGTCTCATGACAAGACTTCAAACACTTTCAGCACGAAATTAATTCCTCTTGCAACGCATGCTGTATAGTCCTACAATTGCATGCAGTTAGCAATCAGATGTCTAACACAGGCTGCCGTGGCCTTTTGTAAACTGCTTCTTACTACTGTTAGTAATTCATAAGCCAAAAATTCAGATCATTTATGAAAATGGAGTTTTTTCATGAATACGGCGCCTTTGCTGACCCAGGGAAAAGCTCGCATTAAATTATCATGGTGCTAAAACATATAATATATATATATATATATATATAATATATATATATATATATATTATATATATATATATACATGTAAGCAGGTGTTACAACTAATAGTTTTATCATAAGGCCTCGCAAGTACACGCAAGGGACCGTTGCGTAAGAACGCACGCACACCGTGTTTGTGCATATGTATGTGTGTGTGTGGGGGGGGGGGGGGGGTGCGGGCGTGTATCAGACTCCCTGTGCATGTATTTTCGAAACCATATTGCAAAATGTGCAGACTAATGTCAAATGAATTCCCTTTCGCAACTGATGTAAAAATGAAACAATACTTCAGTTAAATGTAAACATAGAGAAAAACAACCACGATAAGAAATTAAATTAAATCGTAAACGTTACGGTTTCATTTCGTATTCTGGCGGTTTTCATATTCCTCTTTGCGTACACGTCACTGTGTTTGTGTTTATAAGTGCAGAGGTCCTCCAACCACAAGCACGAGGCCAGTGCGTCCCTGGCGATTCCCCTGGACGCAAGGGAAGGGACACTTTTCTGCAATTTTCGTGTATATGTTGAGCTTTTGCAATGCCACTGTTTTTTTTCTAAAAAGTAAATGGAAATAAAATGGCATGGAGCTGAACATTGTGCAAATATTCCGGTATCTTGTTTTGAATAAGATTTCCTTTATAAACTCTAATATAAAATGAAATACCTGGTCTCAGAAATAGTATTATATGCACCTCCAGTATGGTGTCACAAATTTTGAGTGCGGTGTAAAATAGCAGTTCTATTTCCATTGCTAAAAGTGAGGTAAAATCTTCTAATAAAGCTTATTGGAGAGTGGAATGCTCACCCTGAAATTCGGTGCTTTGAAGTCGCTTCGATGCCGATTAAGATTTATCTCACTCCTACTTTTTAAGTATTTGAATCATGTTTTATCATGGAATTTTACTATACGTATACAACTGTAAATTACTTTTCGTCTAATTATATGCAGCTCTAGTATGGTGTCACAAATTTTGAGTGCGGTGTAAAATTGCAGTTATATTTCCATCTTCTGCGTGATTTGGGCTTCACCGGAGGCGCTTCGTCATGACCTGAATCTTCGTGTTGCCCTCCACGGCTGAGAGGTCCAAGCCCCGGTGGCCCTCCGGCGTGGCCATGTCCAGCGTGAAGCGGGTCTCGGAGCCCAACCCGAGGAAGATTTTGCCCGAGAGCACGTTGGTGGTCGTCGCGAAGGCGAGCTGGCAGCCCAGGTCTCTTTCCCGTTCTGTGGTCGCCTGTGGGATACGCATCAAGCTCAGATTAAGAGAAAGAGCATTCACTTAAGATACCATGCACATGACACAAACAAAATATTATACGATTCGTAATTCAACTATCCATTCCATAGAAATACATATACATGCATATATATAATATATATATATATAATATTATATATATATATAATAATATATTATATATTATATATATATATATATAAATTCATGCACGGCATAGACAGACTACACAGTTTCACGGGCAAGCTTCCCCATCCCTTTGCGGGTTTCCTGACATTTTCCGAAAAAAGTGGTAGTATCGAGTTATCGATACCTAGAGATTATTGCTGTTGAATGTCTGCATTAAAGAGTCTATGCTGGACTCTCAATATGTCACATAGCAGCTCTCGGCCGAGGATGAACTTGAGATGACAGATCACTGTACTCTCTGACACAGAAGACTGGGACGTCACTGCCTGAGCTTCGGTTGCGGGCAGTGCCACAAAGGGCTTGATCCTGCCCTCTGAATCGATGCAAGAACCAAGAGGAAACTCAAAAACCCGAAGCGTTATTCGCTAGCTAAGCCGCTATGATCGGCGATTTAAAATAAATAAATAAAATAAAAATAAATTCAATAGCAACAAAACCAAACTAACCTGTGACTGAATTCCTTCATAAACAGGGATGAGAGATGGTAGCTGTAAGTGCCACACCTTACTTACTTACTGAGCATGCCCATATAACTTGTACACAATGCATGTAGTATGAACACACAAACCATTCGCCTGAACAAGCTTCTTTCCAATGCCACGGTTACAGTTATCATGTCGCACGGAGAGCAAATACATGCAGAGCACCTTCTCCACACCAGGATCTTGAAATAAGTCCACCTTCGAGCCCACTTCCTCTACCACCCCGAGTCCTCTGATCTAAAAGGGGTGTAAGAGCCTAGATTACACGGTGGTCTCACTAACACGTGAACAATTGTATTAAATAAAATAAAAACTTCACTGTTATTACGGTTTCCTTTGTTCCCTCTATTTCACAAATCGGACCAAAACGCAATAGTTAAATGCCGTATCCGAAAGAAACTTACCTCCACTTCTGTCTTTTCTCCATCGGCGGGCTCTTCATCAGCGGAGTCCGACCTGGTTTTGACGTAAGCCAATCGAACCCCGACTAAGGCCCCTGTCTCGCGGTCCCTGGCGCCAAAGGACACTCCGGAGGCGAGGCACTTCTTCAGGTACCGTCCGGTGGCCCCGGCGGCGGACGAGGCTGTCGACTGCACCCCACGCCTTGCGAACGCGCTCCCAGTTTCTGGAAAAGTACCATGAGCTTTTCAAGTAAACTGCGTTTCCATTTTAACTCAGCTAATAATTGTTAGTTAATTCTACGTTCATTCACTACATATCTAAATGCGATGTCATCCACTCAGTTATACTCCCGGTTCAAGAATCTTCAACCGACTCACGAGAGGCTCCCTGGTTAAATAACCATCGTCGACCAGCGCCGTCACCTGGTCGAAGTCTTCAGGTCTTAGCAATAGGTATTCGATGTCTCCGCCCATCTATGGCACCCAGTTAGTGTCCTCTGATCTACTGAAAAAAGTAATATGATAAATTATTAAAGGACTGACGATGATTTGAAAATACACTCTGTATATCGTATATAACGGACGTGCATTTTTCCCTTTACTTTTTTTTCATATCCATAGAATGCACACAGCTTTAAGTAAATATGCAAGCTTAAACATCTTTTTTTAAAATATAACTATGGAATACAAAAATAGTACCAATACTTAATTTTCTTTCAAAAAAATGTATACACACCTGTTAGTAGACGAAGTTTGGCCAAGTAAACAAATTAGTGTTGCAAGTGTCGCCGCTTCTCTCAGGAAACTACATTACAATTTGTCCTTGTGAATCCTATGAGATCAGGCCGCTATTTGCGAATTAAATAAAGCCTGACTGTAGGCTTTTGTTTTATGCGAACATGACGCTTATGTTTGCTTAATAGGGTAATAAATATCTTGAAATCTTATTCGTAAGTGTTCCTTTTGCTGCTAATTAACACTGACATTAAAACCAACTTTTCACGGCTGTTTCTTCACAGTTATAATGCGTTTATATATATAAAAAACAAAACGGTATTATTGGAAATGCAACCCCACACCTAATTTAAAGAATCTGACCTTACCATGTGGCAGAACACATCATTCTATGACAGTTTTCTTCTATACCATTTTCTGCGTAAAATGATAATAACGGCGTTATAGAGGGTATAATATTCACGATTTTCAGGCGCCGCAGTAACCTTCCGCCTCCAGTGCCGAGACAAAATGACAAAAAGTCGTTAAGAGGGAAGGAAAATCGGACGGATTTGTAGCGGATGACGTATGCCCGGGAAATCAAATGAGCCAATTAGATTCGTGCGTGAACGTGACGTGAATAAAGACATTCAATAGAACCAATCAGATATGGAATAGATCATCACGTGACAATAGAAGCTGGGCCTAGGAGAAGGCAGTTGAAATTCAAATCAGTTCTATCATGGCTAGACAGTGTGTAGTGTTATTTCGATTTCATCGCGAAATATCACCGAAATAACGAAGCAAGCTTACTAAATTTACGAGATCACGGTGTACTGCCAGGTGAAGTACAATGCCCGCATTGTAAGACATCGTGTCATTACAGAAATGACAGACACCAGTGGGTTTGTAGTTCATGGAAAAGGGTCCCAAAAACAAAGAGAAGAAAGCAGTGTAACTTTACTGCAGGCGATCGCAAATTCCCGCCAACAACGACGTGGAACACCCCGACGTAGAACACCCCGACGATCCCAGAGACCCGCAACCTAGCCCGTCTGGAGTTGAGGCTGAAGGTAAGGTGTGGTTCAAATTGTTCCTGGGTCTTGGCTCTCTCCTGCCGGAACATACGAGGTTAAGATTTTGTAGGCTAAGCGGGGTGGGGGTGGGGGGCTCCCTGAGAGGGGTTTACGGGGGCGCAGCCCTCTATACAACTCGGAAATGTGTTAATATACTAGTATTCTACCGATATTTCTTGAAATTCCCTGATATGTAGGCCTATAATGCCCTTCTCAGCTATCGGGACTGATGTAGCTGTTTCGTTTGCGAAGGAAATGAGTGCTAGATTCGTTCGAAACACAACGATAGCTATTACAAAATTATTTTATTCACCCAAAAAATGGTGGGTTGCATTTCCAAATTCATCAAATAATACAGTAAACAATGGATGACCAAAGTTCTATATAACTACAATAATGATAATATTGACAACAATAATGATAATGACAATATTGATAACGTTATTCATGATGATGATCATTATGGCAATAACAACAATAATATCACTTCACTGTTAATGATAATGACAATGTTAATAATAAATAATAATGAAACAAAAAAATATTAGTAAACCCATCATTCTTATCATTATCATTACTGCTATCATTGTTATTATTGTCATTATTATTATTATCATTATTACTAATTATTAATCATTATCAATTATCTATCATTATTATTATCATCAATTATTACTTATCATTATCATCGTTATTATCATTGTTGTTGTTGCTGTTGTTACTATCGTTATTACATTTCTTAGTGCACTATTATATATTCGTCGCACTTTAGACCGTGAGAAAACTAGTTTATAAGCATGGCACCAGATAGGGTTTTATGTGAATGTTCTACACTGATTTCCCTGATACCAGAGCAAGCATTGGTTAGTTCTTGCAGTCCTCTCACTCCTCCGTTTATTCCCCACGTTCATTTCTGATCAAAGGAGAGCAGTGTCATCTCTCGAAGGTAACTTGCTAATGACAGGGGAAAACTGTTTGGAAGACGGTTTTTTTCACGATAATATTTGCTATTGCTTTCAATACCTATACGAAAGCACAACACGCTACTCGCAACACTTAAGCTATTAAATATTAGCCTGTGCAAGCCGTTGGCCTATATCCTATTTGATATTGTTTGCATTTACAAATTCCATGTTCGTCACAAGTTTTGCATGCAAGTGTTACGTTTTGTTTCTAACAATTTGGACAAGTAGACCTTTTAAATCATATCACACATTGATGATGTGACACCATCTATTAATGTTTCAGCAAAATATTTCTAGTAAGATTTTTTATATAATTCATGAGTCCTATAGATACCAAACCTGCATAAAGTAAGTGGGATAAATCACTCGCTAATACCATTGTAGTTACCAGAGTATGTGGCTCGCCATGTACACGAGTGGGGCGACAATGAGGCGTGGTTCCTACCCCAGGAGGAACAGCTTTTCTTACGAAATGAAGAATATCTGCCATTACTGCTAGGGAAAGTGAATTCACTGCGGCGGTGGCCTTCCTTTGAGGCGAGAAGACCTAGCAGCGGCACAATTATAGAGGTTCACAATCTATCTATTGGTAAGGCTCCAGCAATAAACACCGATTGCGACGGGTTGTCACAACCGTTTCCAGGAAACTCCAGCCTCCAGTTTTTCCAGAAGATGAACGTGTAATGGCAACGTGACTAAGGCACTCGTATAGCTTCATATTCTTAATGATTGAGTATGCTCTAACTGGCATAAGGAAACCAGGTGTGAAACAGATGCTCTGTTCCAAACTCGTATATGTGGCAGATTGGGTTCAACGGCATCATTGCAATTGGTGATTTCAATGCAGTTTCCATCTACAACTGAACTGGCTACTATATGTATGCCTTTCCAGCTCAAGATGACATAGCAGTAGGGAGAAGAGCCTTCTTCGCTGGGACTTGAGGAGATCACAGACGGAATTGCGGCTCCTGGTAACTGCACCCAGATCCACAGACCTAAAGGGGTGTCACACTAGCACAATTTCCGTGGTTCATTCACGTTTCTGTGGGTTTTTTCTCGCTACCGCTTGTATTTTGGGTGAATGCGATAAATTCCAGTCAAACGATAATTATCGTGTTCGCTGGCAAGTTTCCGTGGTCTTTTTTTTTTTGGTTCAAATCATAAGCTATGAGATAATCGTTATAGTAATGTAAAAAAAAACATTTATAATATAAAACGAATCAAAAAGACAGTCCAAATTGTAAATAATATTTTAAAATTGGTAAAATTCTTTCTTGTATTTAATAAAAACAGATAGAAGTTTATAATTAGCTGCGCGCCAGTTTGTTTACATTTGTGTCCAGATGAGAGTAGCGAGAATACGCCCTTATTTAGCAATACACTTTCGTTGTTTCGCATTAAATCGTCGCCATATAGCCAGAATAACGTCCATCATTGCCAGAGCCTGTGCGGGGGTTGAACCCATCTTTCTGTGTTTAGAATATAGGTCGGACTGTTTCCGTGGTTCTCATCGCGTGTGACTGCGCGAGCCAAAATTACCACGATTTCCGTGGTGCCAGCGGAAAAAGTGCTAGTGTGACACGGCCTTAAGGTGGTTTATTTGTACTTGAAAAAAGTCAAGATAGCGAACTGGCGAGCTATATTTTAGCGATAATGATTTTTTATCGCTACCATCTTCGGATTGATTCTTTTGCTGTGTTGCACTCGTTTCTGATCAGTTAATTACAATTGTTCAACAGTGGAAGATCAAAGAGGACATTTCAAGTTCATTGTTGCTATCGCTACTATCGCTGCTCCTCATTGCTTAGTTTATCAACCTTATTCATTCCTTTTCATTTCCGATTTATTTTTATACATCATTTCTCAATAACAGGAAATCGTAAAGAAAAGGCGGTACTTCTATCTCATATCAAGATACTCCAAAGGACACTCTAGATAGAAGGCATTCTTTCATTTTGCAGTCAAAAGATTTCATATCTGATTATATTGCGTAAAATGTTATCTCCAATCAGATTGCCTGCTTAAGATTTTGAAAATATTTAGCCCGATCTTTACGACTTGTAAGCTTATGAATTACATTACTATTACTAGTTAATAATTAAGTAAATTGCCTCTTTATTATGTAAAAGAAAAATAATGTTACTGCTTTGGTAGCATTACATTAACACCATTGTAGAATTAGCATGACCTTCACATAACAGATATAATAAATGCGAATTTTGAGTGAACCTCTTTTTTTTCTTCTTCTTCTTCTTTTTAAGAAATGTTATGTTGGCGTATTCAACATACCAGGATAAAGTTCTCCGTTGCCTTGAATTACGCAGTACTTTAACGAGTCACAGATAATGCATACCATTTTTCATCAGTACGTTTTATATTGTTTAGCTAAATTCAGATATTGTTTTTCATTATTTTGTTTATATTCCTACATCTCTATACTTACTTGTTGTATGTATGCATTTAACTTCGTTCACTTTAAATTGATGGAAGGTCGAAGCTGTTGTCTTGTTTGTTATTTATTATTGTATTTTTTGTATTGTTATTGGCAACAAAACATGAATGTATCAGCCTCTTCAGATATGAAAGAGTTTTTCACCAGAGCAATTTTTTTTACTTTATTTATGCTCTCTCTCTCTCTCTCTCTCTCTCTCTCTCTCTCTCTCTCTCTCTCCTCCTTCTCTCCTTCTCCTCTCTCCTCTCTCTCTCTCTTCTCTTTCTCTCTCTCTCTCTCTCTCTCTCTCTCTCTCCTCTCCTTCTTTCTCTTCTCTCTCTCTCTCTCTCTCTCTCTCTCTCTCTCTCCTCTCTCTCTCTCTCTCTCTCTCTCTCTCTCTCTTTCATATATATATAT